TAATAATAATAATAATAACATAGCCAAAGGTCATCTATACTATAGTAGAGAATCTTTGGTATGACGAAACACGTTAAATTAAGAGAGAACACACAAAAACAGCATTGGAACGAAGAGGTTATAAAAGACTACTGCTTTCAATCTTTTTTGCACTGGAATGAAATGACTTGACGCTTAGAATCAGAGTTATGGCTTTTGCAAATTACCCAAACTCGTTAGTATCAATGATATTATTTGGCTTAAGATGGTCTCAAGGTTTTCTTCATGCAGCTTCTTTCATGGCTAATTCTTCCTATGTTTGAAGCGCAGATTCTGTCGCAGTGCTTGCATGTCAGTGTCGTAGATCAAGGCTCTGTATTTCCGCTGTTTTCCTTTCGTCGTTGGCGCTTCTCAGCCTGGTTGTTTCTAAGGCTGCTCTCTAGCATTATAGTTCTTTCCTTTATCTTTTTCCTCCATGTTTCCCTGTCCTCAGCTATTTCTTCCCAGATGCTAACATCTACTCCAAGCTTAGATAAGCTGTTTTTTGCAGGTGTCTTTGTACCTCAATTTTGGTCTTCCTCTTGGTCTCTTTCCCTGGGCACGTTCTCCATAGAGAGAAGTTGCTTCGGAATCCGGTTGTCGTTCATTCTCTTGACATGGCTCAGCCACCGCAATCTTTTTAAACACAGGATAGTTGTCATGCTCTGGAGGTTTGCGCGTGCCAACACTTCAACATTTGTAACATGCCTAAAATCTTGCGGCAGCATCTGAGATGGAAAATGGCGAGGCGCTTTTCTTGTCTGCTGTACAAGGTCCATGTTTCAGATCCATAGAGGAGTGTGCTGAGGACACATGCTTCGTAAATCTTGATCTTTGTTTTGATGGTTAATCTTTTGTTTTCCCATGCTCGTTTTGTCAGCCTTCCAAAAGTTGTTGCTGCTTTCCCTATCCTGGTGTTGATCTCATAATCAAGTGATGTAGTAGGGCTGATGGTAGACCCCAGGTAACAGCCATATATGGCTCTGGTCTGCACCTTCTTGGGTAAGGATGACTGTTTTCTTAACACTGATGACCAAGCTAAAGACCTTGCATGCTGTTGATAGGCGGTCCATCATTGTTTGTAGGGTTGATTCACTGTGAGCAACAAGAGCAGCATCATCGGGGAAGAGAAGGTCTCGTACTGTTGTTTTGTTGATCTTGGTCTTGGACTTGAGTCGAGCAAGATTGAAGAGCGACCCATCAGTTCTCCAGTGAAGGAAGACATTCCCTGGTGACTCTTTAAATGCGTGTTGCAGTAAGACAGCAAAATAAGTGCTAAAAAGGGTTGGTGCTAAGACACAACCTTGCTTTACTCCATTATTGATGTTGAAACTGTTTGATGTTGAACCGTCAAACTGAATGGTGGTCTTCATATCTTCGTGGGATGAGATGATGAGCTGTAGCAGTATTGGGGGACAACCAATTTTTCCAAGCACCATGTACAGTCCTGATCTACTGACTGTATCAAAAGTCTTTGTCAGATCGACGAACGCAGTATGTAATGGCAGTTGTTGCTCCCTGCATTTTTCTTGTAGCTGACGAATAGAAAAGATCATGTCCATTGTTGAGCGATTTGATCTGAAATCGCATTGGCTCTCTGGTAGGACTCTTGCTGCTAGTTTCTGAAGTCGCTTCTGGATGATCCTAGCGAAAGCTTTCCTAGTGCTGCTAAGCAGTGAGATACCTCTGTAGTTGTTGCAATCTCCTTCGTCCCCTTTGTTTTTGTATAGTGTGGTGATTTTGGTATCTCTCATGTCAGGTGGAATTTCTGCTTTCAGCCAACAAGTCGTTAATAGCTTGTAGAGATATGGGAGGAGGGTCTCTTTGTTCTCTTTCAGCACTTAAGCAGGTATGTTGTCATTTCCCGCTGCTTTTCTGCAAGCGAGTAATTCGATTGCACAGGAGAGTTCTTCTTCTGTTGGTGTTGTATCAAGTTTTGACATTTCGGAGAGCTGAGGAATGGCCTCATGCAGCTGTCTATCAACGTGTCGTTCCTTTGAGTATAAGTCTGAATAGTGTTCCACCCATCTTTCCATTTGTTTCTTCTTGTCTGTCAGCTGTTCACCTGTCGCAGACTTTAGAGGTGCCACTTTGTTTGCTGTTGGTTCAATGGCAACTCTGATGTTTTCATACATTTTCCTGATATTGTCAGTACCGCTGGCCTGTTGGATTTCTGAGCATAACTTGTCCCACTGATTGGCACACTTTCTGGTTTCTCTTGAAGGTTGGATTTAGCAGCACGTAGTTGTTGCTTTGTACTCTCTGTTGGATTTGTGTTGTGTTCTATCAGGATCTTACGCTTTTTCTCGAGTAGTGGAGTGAGTGTTGATGCACTGGCTTCAACCCAGTCCTCATTGTGAGGTCTTTCTATTCCAAAAGTAATCCACGCAGAATTATAAATTGTTGATCTCATGCTATTCCACATGTTGTCTGGAGATGAGTTATCTAGATGTTGGAGCTCTTCTTTAACATGTTCTTGAAATTTTGCCTTTAACGCTGGGTCTTTGATATTTTTTATGTTGATCTTAGGTTTCTTTTGTTTTTCAGCTCTTGGTGTTTTCTTTGTGACTATCTTTGCCTTAGCTATAATAAAAGGTGGTGGGTGTTGCAGTCTGCACTGTAGAAGGATCTTGTTTGCTTTACCATGTTGGCATCTTTCTTTCTGACGATGATGAAGTCGATTTGTTGCCAATGGCCTAATCTTGGACGACACCAAGAAACCTTGTGTCTGTCATTGCCACTGTAAAAGGTGTTAGAGATGCAAAGGTTGTTATTAGTGCAGAATTCTAAGAGTCTCTGGCCATTCTCGTTGATTTTTCCCAGCCCAAAAGGTCCAAGGCTGGTGGGCAATACTTTGTTTTCAGTACCTACTCTTGCATTGAAGTCGCCCGTGAGAAACAATTGGTCTGCTTTTGGGACATTGTTGATTGCATCCTGATGTTCCTCGAAAAACTGGTCTTTTTTCTCATTTTCTGTTGTTCGAGTTGGGGCGTAGGCGCTGATGAAGTGAGCCTTTCCAGTTTTGTTTTCCATTTCCATGACAGTGATACGTTCGGATATACCTTGGGGGGTGCTGATCCTGTTCAGCAATCTGTTGTGTACTGCAAAGCCCACACCATGGATTCTCCTCTCATCTTCCCCTAGACCCTTCCAGAAGAATGTGTAGTTTCTTTCCCTGTTGGTACCAGAGTTAGCAAGTCTTGTCTCTTGCAGGGCAGTGATGTCTACATTGAGTCGTGTGAGCTCCCTGTCTATGATTGCTGTCTTTCTGATGTTCTCTGTTTTCTCCAGGTTTGTAGTGTCCAATCCGGTTGTCATTGTTCTAACATTCCAGGTCCCGTTTCCATGGGGTTAGTTTTACTCTTTTTTTGCCTGGTGCTGGATTTAACGTCTGCCTTTCGGTTTTTGTCCTAGCTCCATACACCCATAGAAGCAAACAGACGTGGCGGATCAGCACTTTACTGACTGGGGGCTGCCCAGTTTGAGACGGGCGGTAGCTGATCAGTGCGACTGAATAGTCACTCCCATCGTCAAAGGTGACCCGTGGCGACATCCTGTTTTGCCAAATAAGGATGTCTTATAACCCGTAAACTGCCACCTCCCGTGTTTTTCCCTTGCTCGTCACAACAAGGATGAAGTGTCCTCTTTATAATCATATAAATGCTGTTGTAGCTGTGGTTGAGCTGTGGGTCTGATCCGCTGTATTTGCTCTTTTGCAGCGTCCTCACAGAAATCTTGACTAAGCTAAATGCCTGGGCCTGACTCTATGGAGGACGTGCCTTTCCCAATTTACACGAGCCCCCTCACGACTTAGCTGAGCTGATTTAGTTCAAAGGAGAGACAAGGTCAAAACATTTGGAACCAGTGAAGTTGCAGGGGCTGCCAGAAGATAGTTCGGATCGTTCCTCCCTGTCGACTGCCTTAGGGGCCCTCCCTCCGGATTTGTTTTGGGTTTACTCCCTTAACTAACCTTTCATACTCCCGTATGCACCTGCAAGGCAGTAGGACAGCTGCAGGTAGTACCATCTACTGTCATTATGGTAGCAGCACTAGGCTGACCTGACCAGAATGTCAATGATATACGCGTACAATATTACGCCTAATTGAGTCCAGACGGGTTTTTTTCTTTCCAAATAGCCCCGAGGCGACGTTGATCCTTTATTTTCTGACCATCAAAATTTGTAAATTGAAGAACAGGCACATCGACATCCCGCAGCACTCCCATTTGAGGCTTTATTTGTTTATGTTTTTGGTTGTTCGTTTGTTCATCGACACAAGCGCGTGCCAACTTTATGACCTTATTGTGTTGCAAATGCCGAAGAATTCTTACTGAAAACTTGACAACGTGGGTGATGTTGCATACTAGAGGACGGTTAATTAGCTAATTTTAGTCGGAGAGAGGGATCACCCAGGTACCAGTAGTAAAAAGATTAAATCATGCACCCCGTCCCCTTTGACATTATACATGCCTGTGGACGGTACGAGAATGTCATCGTCTTTTCTTCTAGGTTAAATTTATATTTGTGAAGCGTGCAGACAAAATGAGTTACTTCTTGCAAGCCAAGAATGGAAATATTGGCCGAGAATCGACACTGGGGTCAGATTTATAGATTTTCAATTGATGCCATTTTGTTCAAGTCTACCGTATCTGTTATTATTCCATACTAGCAAATTGTACAAACTCCACCTATAAAGCTGATGTACCAAATTGCATAAGGCTGAAATCCAAGAAGTAACTCATTTTGCGGGCACACCTCACATGTGTTTGTTTTGCATAAAGAGAAGTACATCGACACAATAATGCTCATTTAATTAAAAGGGGGGAGTAAGACAGGCAAACAGAAACAACCGAGGGAAAGTAAAGAACTAAATAGGACCTACCAGCGCCGCCCCCCGCGGTGGTTTTTTAAGTGGGCCCTGGCTATAGAAGAATGGCAAGAACCGAACTGCATTGAGTTTGTTGACAGTGACAGTGTCACAGGAATGAAATTCTACAAAATAGTTGTTTTTTTATAGTTATTTTTTTGGTAAGTGTTTTACGGCGCTTACAACTGAATAACGTCATAATATTAGGGCGGGGGACACATTAAACATTTCCAGTTGATAGGAAATTTTCAATTTAACCCTAGTGGCGGCCGAAGCCTACTCTTTCCCATTTTTTTTTTACCACCAAGGGATCTTTAACGTGCGCTACTTGCACACAGGACCTCTGAGATTTTTCGCCCTTGTCCGAGAAGGCTAGGTGTAGATCATTCCTACCAGATGATCAGGGGTGTGGGCGAAAGACAGCAGCAAGAAGGAGCCAAGGAGTAGCAGTAGAAAGGCTGCAGAATAAAGAGTCAGGAGCCCAGAGGAGGAGGCAAAGGAGGTGAGGGGGTGGGGGCAGAAAGTGGAGGCGAAAGCAAACGACAGAACAATGCTAGAGAGCAGGAAAGGAGGTGAAAGGATACAGTTTTAGAGGGGGAAAAATTCTGTCCCTACCCGGATTCGAACCCGGCACCTTTGAATGAGAGGCGAACACCTTAACCTCCAGGCCACAAGAGCCCCCGAAATGGTTTGAAAAATGAAAATTGGATGCCACGCACTCTTCAAGAAGAAAAATTTGCTACATGATATTATATCATGTTCATCTTTCTTATTTATCATGCACTATCAATTAATGAGCTCTTCCGACTCCTCACCTTCTTTTCCTTTTCCTTTTCATTACTACTAACACAGTTTCCTTCATCATCAATATCCTGAGTATTTTTATTTCTATTATTAATTATCATATAACTACTATTATTATCATATTTCCAATGTTAATAATAGTTCTTTGTTCGAAATCCATTTATGTTTGACAACAAATTAGTCATCTTATCATCATTTTTGAAACAATTATTAGTAGGCCTTAATGTTATTACATTTATTGAACTATTATTGTTATCGTTATTACCATCGTCTAGATCATCATCATTTTTACAAGAAAAAATATCGATAATAGGGGTCTTATTAATATGTAGCAAGTGCTGTAAAACTCTGACTTGAACTAAATTTTAAAAAGCCAAACTCATAGAGAATTGAGAGTCGGCTATATTCAAATTGTGATAATTTCTCTTTACCGGGTAGTGGTGTTGTGAGGTTTTAGCAATTATTGAATATTTATTAACTGAAGAACTTGTGTACGCACGCACGCGCGCGCACACACACACACACGCACACACACACACACACACTCACTCACTCACACACACATACACACACACACATGCACGCTCACGCAAACGTGTACATCAATATACACACACACTCTTCCCTCACACATCTGTGCACATAACCATAATAATATAATAGTATGCTTGCACTCACAAACAGGCTCACAGTCACAGTAATATAAACAATAACTATCATCAGTATTTTTCTCCAGGTTATTTGAACTTTTATGTGTCACATCCCTCAGCCTCATGCCGTAGTGGGATTTTTGTTTGTTTGTCACCTGGACAAGTTTTCTTAAACTGACCTTTCGGCCCTGTTTGTAGGAGAGTCGTTTAGTTTTTCTAACAGTTTTATGGCATGCAACACTGATAGGTTAACATATAAGTGCTGAAGATTAGAGATGTTGTAAAATTAGAGAGTAATACATATACATACAAACAAAATAAGTAGGCTAGATAAGGAAAATAGGTGTTTTGACAAGGAAGAAGGAGCAAACCACATCAGGGCCTCCGTCAGTTATCACACACTTACAGTAAACAAGTGCTTATTTCTCTGAATGAAATCAATTTGTAAGAAACAAATTCAGGCCCATAGATTTTACAGTCAGAAACTTAGTTCTCCCTTACCCATCCACCAGTGATCAAAATGTAAAAAATGTGGGACATTAGCATGAGACAAGAGATTAGAGTAAAACAAAAAAATCTAAAAAAAAGACATGAAAAACCAAAACACTTGCAGGTTATCTCTGATTTTTTATTTTGTTCAGTAGAAAAAAAAAGTGCTGTCACACATCGGAGGTTCATTCAGTGCTGGGGAATAAAAACCTCGAACAATCAGACCCTACAGAGGAACAGCTGAGGAAAAAAGTAAGATCAAGCAATAAAATCCTTTATGTCTGTCATTAAAAATTCCATTGTTACAAATCAAATTTGTTCGTAATTGGTAGGAACACCTTCATAGTTATGATAAGAAAACTTAGATAATGTTACAAAAAAAATTCTTTGAAAAGAAAGACAGTCCAACACGCTGGAAGTCAAATGAATAGCTATAAATGAATTCTTTGTCAAAAAGAATTTGAAAATTAGGAATGTAAAATAGAACTTAAATATTTTTCAAATGAGTATCTTTGGGGAGGGAACATTCAAACAATTGTTTTGAGATAAACAAATATATAATAGTTGTAAAGTGAATTGGGATTCTGTACAGCAGGGATATGCGCTTTATAAATGCAATCATTTTGTCATTATTATAAAAATTGTACGTAAAAACACGCTTTTGTCACAGGAAATATCACATTATGATAATTGAGTGATAACGGTGTTTTCAATGAATGAGAATAAATGTCTCAGTGTAACATTCTTTGATGTGATGTTTTCTCACAAATTCACAGTCATTACCCAAAACCTCTATCCTGCGATTGATGAAAATCTGAGCCCCATAATTCAAAGAGGCATACAGTTTTCAGCAATAACATAAGAATAGTGCAAATGGAATTTTAGACACATCTTATTTTGATGAGGTTGCCAGACATTATACTACTCATTCATTACACAGTGAAGCACTATCGTGAATCCAATAAAAAGATAATTGTTGCTTCTTTAACAGAAGAATTCCAACCCAATAATTTTATTAAACCACTATTGCTAGTAAGGCTACCTCCTCCGTTTGTGCACTTTTGTCAATTATGCAAATTTCAAAGTACCTCAAGAGCAGTGATCTCAAACTTAAAATAACTCATAGGGCCAATTACTATTGGAGGTAGAATCTGGGTGAGCGGGGGCCACATCAGGTACTCTACACCAAAAAAGGTTTAAAGCATTCAAAAATGCACATCTGATGTTATGTGAGTTTGAAACCCCAGCTCAAACAGACAATCAAAAATACATCCTTGCTGAGTATATTTGAATCTAAATGACGAGGAAAAAAATGCAAGGGGATGAAGTATGATTCAGTGGTCGTTTGTACAAGTGATTGTCTACGACAGGTGCCTGTTAGAGAAGGTTCTACTGTACATTCTTCACACCAGCATTATTGATACGCTTTCCTCAAAGGCATTTTTGTTGCTCCGTAGACAATCTACAAACTATCACAGAATTTTTTCTTCCCTGTTCTGAACAAAAAAAGTTGTTGTTCTACAAGGAATGAAATGGTCATGGAATGGTTGTGCGGCCCCTATCAACAAATTGAAAAAAAAAATGCTTTTTTCATACTCATTAACACAATTTACATCATTCAGGAGGCAGTCCTTGACCCTGCCTGTCAGAGTCAACCTGGGCTGAGAAGGATATTACATCCCAAGAATATAAACTTTCCCCACTTGGAAACCAAACTTGGTTCAACAGTATTTGACAGCGAAGCGCCAAACCACTACACTACACAGGCCTGTACCGTTGCATTAAAACTTTATTGTCCCTCAAGATACAAGCAATAAAAGCAATGTGTAGATCACAGTCTTTTTCTCCCCCACACATTCTGAACAGGCAAACAGTTTTTGTATAAGAAATAAAATATTGTGTGACATCGAGGTTAAATCAGGCGCTCATCAAAATAATGAAATCAAAGAAACTGGTATTTTCCCACCTTTAAATAATTACATTTTATCTTTTTTATATACAGCTCAGCACCTTTTATATCCATTTAAAAACACATTTCTTTGTGGATTTTACTGCAAAACTGTTGATCAAAGGCACAAAAAATTTAATTTGCTGTTTCCAAGAACACCTAAACCTTGGAAGGCACCAAACTGGAGAGACCATTTTCTCACTTATTTTACCTCTGACACCAAGTAAACCTATTCTCCCACATTGGCATATATCTCAATTTCTATTCAAGATAAATGGGTATTTAAAAAAAATCAAATACAAAGTAAATGAACCAGCTCTAACTTTAAAATGATACCAATAACTCAATGTAATTCCCCAAAAATAGACAAGCACCCAATTCCACCGTGCAGTGACACATTTGTCATGAAATGATTGTCATACCTCAATCAACACAAAAAACCCCCATAAAAGTTGTTCATTGTGCGGATCTCAGATTAACCCTTTTGCTACCAGGCCTGCTTAGTAATGTTACCATAGAGCATTACACTGTCTAAAACCTGGCAGAAGAAGCTGCATCTCTCACAGGAGTTAATCGAGTGGGTGGAAAGCAATGAAAACTCTAAAAGAACTCAACTCAAGGCAGCGCTACTTAGGACTCGAATCCTCAAAAAATGTTCACTGTGTCCTCCAAATAATTTTAATATTGCGATGGACTTGTTAAACAGTGAAAGATAATTACGTCTACAATATTTGTATGTATAATAAATGTGCGTTGATATCCCTACAATGTATTTATGTATGGTTATGTTTACCCTTCCCCCCCAAAAAAATTTTTTAAATACAAAAAATAATGAACAACCAAAAAAAAAAACGTGTTCATTAGGACATCAATTTAAAACTTTGCCTTCTTAATAAAGAAACAAAGCAACATGAGCATAGCAAACATTGGGAAAATGAGGACTGGATCACATTTTATTCCATCTTTTATTTTATTCATCTATATACTTAACACCCAATTTTAAAATCGTTCAGGAATATTTGTTTACTCATTTTTCAAACTGATTCATTCACTCCTTTTCTGTTCATCTATTTTTCATTTATTCCTTTACTGATCTAGGAATATCAACATCGTGAGTACATTGTTTATGTTGATGCTAACAATCATGTGACATTATGATCAAAGCATCTGTGCTTGATCAATCTAGAAATAAAGAAACATTTGCATAGTAAACATCATGAAAATGAGAACTATGGATTTCATTTGTCTATTTGAGTATTTGTTCATTTGTCTTTTATTTATTCACTTATTGATTTATTAATTCATTCATTCATTTATCTATCTATTTATCTATTGATTTATTGACTCATGAGAGTCACTGTAAATCACAACAGCAAACATAAAACTTAAAAAAAAAAAACCCTTGCAAAAGTTACAAACAGCAGAAGATGTGTCTCTTGTATCGGTCCAACTGTTCCTCGGGGCCTCAGCTGGTTCAGTAGCCAACTTGTTAAACTGAACATAAGTAGAACCATTAGCCAAATTGTGGGACTGAACACGTAGAACCAAACAGTAGCCAACTTTTTGAACCAAACAGTAGCCAGGTCGCCGAGTTGGACTGATAGACCCAACCAAAAAATTGTGACTCACTCTTGAGGTTCAGATACGTCGAAACGTTTGACCAAACCCAGACGGCCGTCTAGGTGAAGTTTTTCACCTGAAAATAAATCAATTTGAGTAAAAAATGACACATCCTGCAAACTACAAAATTCATGTTCAGATAAGCTACAGAAAAAATCATAATGCTTTTTCCCCATTATACTCCTACATGATTTTTAGAAAGTCAGACAACAACAAGCTCTTATCATACTGAACACATGGAAACTTCTCAAGGAACTGCATACGAGGACTTTGCCACCACAAGCATTGCCCTTCTGCTGCAGGCTTCAGATCTTGATTATTCTTTCTAACCAAACTGAATTGCAACTGGCCTTTAAGGTATAGTTAGTATCTGTCTTTTTATGGCCGGTATAGAGAAGCTTGGAGTCTACTGTCTGTTCAGTTTTGCCTTCAAAGAAGTTATATTTAAGTTGCCTTTTACACCTCCGTTGACACAATATTTTGATTACTTACACGATGGGCTTTCCACCCTGCCTGCCTGGGCCCACCCAAACTAACAGAGAGGATACAAAAAGCCAACAGAAAAACTGAGATACTCTATAAAAATTCTCCCTACTCAAGATTCGAAATTCGGTCTCCTGTGTGCCCCAGCGAAGTGCATAACCGCTGCACACACAGAATCTTATTAAGAAACCTCCTACAGTAGGAGGGAAGAAATCAAACAATTACTACCTCTGTTGCTCTTTGCATTGAACGCGTCAAAGTACATTTGTATGAACAGTCAAAATTTTCCAAGACAGCCACCCAATATCCAGAAAAAAATTGATTGTCTTCGACAGGTGGATGTCTCGGACAGTGTCAATATGATATAAAAATAAAAACACAAAGGTGGAAATGAGGCACGGTTGTTTGCACAGGTGATTGTCTTAGATATGTTGCCGACATTAAAACAAAAAAAAGAATAACTGAAAAACACAATAAGCATAAAAATACTTTGACACCAGACTCAAATGGTGAACCCAGTGTAATGGAATTTGACCTTCTTCACAAAATAATTAGGATCAGATTTACACTTCAAGTAGACCTCAACTGACACAACAAGGTGTTTGGACAATGTTATTGAAAGAAGAACGAGATGGAAAAACTAGCACTACACCCATACTGACAGAGTTAATTTTTTTGGATAATATTATTGAAAAACGAGTGAGATAGAAAAACTAGCACTAAAAGCATTCTGACTGAGTTAATTTTTTGGGACAATGCTATTGAAAAACGAGTGAGATTGAAAAACTAGCATGGCAGCATACTTCTTCTTCTTCTTCCTCATTCTCGATGACAGCAGCTAGACAGTCAGTCCGATGTCGCGTACAAACTGTGTAGTTCGTTTCAACTCTGAAAGACTGCCATAGAGTTTTCACTCAAGGGGAGCCACATTCTGCCACGTCTGTGAGCGAAGGGTTTTGTAGCGCGGGCATTCCTGAAGGACATGGTTGGCATCCTCTTGGTCGTGTCCACATTCACAGGTCGCTGTTTCTCCCACTTTTAGTTTGGTGTGCATATTTATGGTGTTTGAGTCTGTTGTGGCCACAACGGAGTCTAAAGATTGTGACTTGGTCTGCTCTAATTAGTATGTAGTAGGGGTCATGTCTGTTGTGCTTAGGGTGGGACCTTTTCCATCTGTTTCTTAAAGCAGTTTTTATTAGTGTTTTTGACTCTGAGAGATCCATGCCATCTTCAATCTGGGTCATTTTGGCTCCTTCTTTGGGTAAGCAATCTGCTTTTTCATTTCCATGAATGCCAAAGTGACCTGGTATCCACTGTAGGGTTGTGTTGGCTTGGGAGTTTAGATCACACAGGAGTGAAAGGAGTTGTCGTACTTGGGCTGTTTGTGGCTTTTGGAGAGCTTGCAGGACAGATTTTGCATCTGTGAGGATGACAGTGTTGGCTTTAGATTTTGGGTGATTCAAGAGAATGGTGGCTGCTGTTTAGAGTGCTGATGTTTCTGCTTTGTAGTTGGAGGATAGAGATCCTGTGGGGATGGAATGGCTTTCTGTTGTCCCATCTATCCACTCTATGTAGATACCTCCACCACCGTTTCTGACAGCATCAGTTGCTGATCCATCTGTGTAAACTCGATTCCACAGGTTGCTTGGGAAGTTTCTGTCCAGGTAGTCGAGCGTCAGTGACTTGAGTATTGGGGGAGGGCCTTCGGATCTGGTGCCAAGTTTTTCTAGGTTTTCTCGAATTTGAGGGGGGTGATTAGAGTGAAGGGGGTGGACTTGACACGGGTCTAGTGGGGTTGGAGATTCTTCTACAGAGATTTCGAGTCCAGAGCTGGAGTGTCTGGCCATATAGAGGAAGCTTGTTCTTTTAAGGCGTTTGCTCTGGCTTTTTGAAGATTTATCCTTCATTGGATGGGTTGGCATTCTTTTGATCTTTTCCTGATGAGCAATCGCTTTCAGATTACGTCTGTCGTTCAGGGGTTCTAGCCCCGTTAGTGTTTCCATGACATGAATGGGCGTGGATCTCATTGCTCCCGTGATGATCTGCAGATTTTGATTCTGGATTCTTGCTACTTTGTGGAAATTGCTGTCTGATGCGGCAGCATACTGATCAAGTTAATTTTTCCCTTATGAAGAACTACGTTCAGTGCTGTTTTTCACACAAGTCAGGCGATTTCTCGGGCAGGGCACACTGACCCCGCCAGTAGATCTGGCTGAGACATGATAGGAAAAACAGTATGTCTTTGGGCCAACCAGGAAAAATGTTTGACCCGATTCAGCTGGATTTTGGACTGTCATGATCTAGACAAGTCATTTTTTTTAAAGCACAAGCTATCTGACATTTTTGGCTGTTTTGAGTTAACAAAACCATGAGATTAAAAACCAAATGCGCCATCTGCACTATCAAAATCATAAAATTATTTTGTGTCGTTATCAAGATATGCAAAGAATTGTATTCGAAAGCATGACATGGAGTGAAACTCAAAAGCTTTAACATCAAATTTTTCAAAACTTGGAGCTGAGCAGATAGAACTTTGTAATTCTGAGGTAGTGAAGTGTGTCAGCCAACAGAATCACGTTGACCTGTTAATTATAATAATCCTGACAATTCTCTGTACAAATCACAACATTTTATGTACATGCAAAATCTTAAATGCTGAAGCTAAGACAGAAAACCGCAAGAGGCACACATACGAGGGTAAAAATGAAGCATTTAAATGTTCAAAATGTGGCAAACTCTTCTTCTTCTTCTTTTTCTTCTTCTCCTTGTTATTATTATTTTATTGTTATCATTATTACACAAAACAAAACACAATCAAACTGACAAGAGTGAAAAATGAGCTGGGCACAAAAAATTAAATGTTCATAATATCTGTTATGTGTGACTTCATCAATCTAGATCTACATACTGATAAGACATTTTGAATTAGGCATTATATATTGCATGCATAGAGAAGAGTACATTACACATGTGACCATGTGTTTCTTTTAACCTTGCCCTTTCTGACGTTCTATCAAACGTAAATTTCTTAATAGCATATCAAAGTCGCAAAAGAAAATTATTTTCTTTATCACAGTCATGTGATGCAAGAAAGTATGCAGCTAGAAACTGGCATGAAGGCTGACAAATCTGGAACGCTTGTTACTCTTATCTTCTTTTAAATAAACAACCCTATTTATTTGCATGGCCTTTGAACACAACTGACATTGCTAAAGATGATCACCTATTGTTGAGGATAAAAGTGGTTGTCTTACACAGGAGGACATCTTGGACAGTTGTCATTGTAATGAGAAAAAAAATGCAAAAAGGTGGAAAGGGAAGAGGCCATAATTCATGCAGGTGATTGTCTTGCACAGGTGGTGGTTAGAGCAGGTTCCACTGTATGTGATATGAGCAGCACACGGGCTGCTAAACATAAGGTGTTTGAACAGGAAGGATGAAGTTATGATTTAATAATATCTCCACTCGTCACACAGTTGAGCAAACAAATAAGTGCAAGCGCAATTTTTTGGAGGTCACATTTAGTGTGCACAGAATTTTCTTCATTCCTGTTTTTTTCCTGGTATGGTAAGAGGCTGTGATCTTTCTTCTTTTCAATAATTGATTTTTGTTCAAAGATCAGATTTCAATACCATGTAAACAAAACAAAGTGCCTGTGACACACAGTTCAAGTGCAGTGAACATTCACTACCATAATACCAAAAAACACAAAGTCTATGAGAAGATCACAGGGGTTCGCCAAAATAAGAAGCCTTTATGGAAACTCATAAAAAATGTATAAAAAGCTTGAGAAATACACAAAGGGTGGAAAAGTAACATTTTGTGATAAAAGTTTGACTCACCAGATTGAACGATGGAAGTCGCATTTGCCACATTGACCACACAAGGAATGCCATACTCCCTGGCCACAACAGCACCTGTGTCAAATGGAAATACAAAGTCATAGTTATTTAAAGCTGTAGGAGTTTTAACAACCTAGTATCGCAAAAATACAGTTGAAATTGTAAAAAAAAAATGGTGTAATGGCATATGTTTAACGCCCCTGTCAACAGTTAGGTTAATCAAGATGCGGGACCTCCGAGTTTAAATAGGAAATTCATGTAAGGTGCCTTTCCCAAGGACAAAACGTCTTATCAACTTTGAAATTGTCAAAAAGAAGAACCCATTTTTGAAGAGAAAACAGGAGCTAATGTATCTTGTTTTCAGCGCTGTCGTTATGTGTAAGTAATAAATATATGGTTGAGAAAGTTCTTAAGTTCTTCCTTGTAAGGTTGAAGTGGTTTTCTTGAGCAGATGACAAGTCTTTTCTTGTGTGTGTGAGGTTTCCTCTCAGTAATCATGTCATAGATGTAAAGCACTCAGACCGTATACTTGTATGGGACACTGCACAATATAAATGCAATTTATTGTTATTATTAAAGCCACAGAATATGAACGTGACAGAGGGTGCCCAAGTCCCTGGTGACTCATTGGAGCAGAGGTAGATAGGACTATCGTCAACACCCAAACACCCAGCATATTTAAATCTAAAGTCATCTTTGTTCTCAACTCCTTGACTACAGTTTAACAAATCATTACAAATTAGGTTAAAAGGTCACACTAATTATGTACCTAACACTATCACAAGCATCTTTTTCTACTAAACATTATTATAGTGTCAATTTGATAATAATGGGCAAGGGAAGAAAACAAAAAGAAAAGACAATATAACCCTCACTGAGCATACCATGTGAAATGAGGCCTCCTAGTTCGGTGACAAGTCCTCCTATGAGAGGGAAATACGGCGACCAACCAACGTCAGTGCTGTTCACCACCAGGATGTCCCCTGCCTGAAGTCGTCAAAGAAGAAATGTGTCACGACGCGGTGTAATCAGGCGCTCGTCAATTTTCGTGCATGTGGAGTTATCGATATCATCTTAAAGCTAGCTCATTTATCTTGCTTTTCATGAAAAAAATACCCATCTATCTGGAGCAGAAGTGAAGATATTTGTGATTGAAAGAGGTAAGTTCACTTGGTTTCAGCGGTAAAAATAGCGAGAAAATGGCCGCCAAAGTTTGGTAACTTCAAAGGCTAAAGAGTCCTTGAAAACTGAAAAATTACATATTTTGAGCTTTTAACCAACGTTTTTCAATATAATTCATTTGGAAATGTGTTTTTATTTGGAGGTAAGAGGATTGAAAAAAACCCCCCCAAAATTTGATTAAATTGCGAAACTGGAGGGAAAACGCCTGTTTCCCCAATTTTGTTATTTTGACGAGAGCCTGATTTCACCACAATGCCTCACAAATAGTGTGTAGACAATCTCATAAATACTGTCCAACTTATCCCCCTGACAACCACTAAATGTTGCGGAGAAAAGCAGTCAAGCGGTCATCTTAGACAGGTGGTCTTCAAGAACAGTGTCATCATAACAAGGAAAAAAATGTAAGGGGCAAGTGGGAAGTGGTTTTCTGTACAACGATTGTCTTGGACAGGTGGCTGTTGGAGCAGGGTTGACTGTTTATTGATATAATAATAATGCAGATAATTTCTATAGTGCCCACTCCTGTGTGAACACAGCTCTAGCCGCTTTACATAAAAGCATGTACGAATTATATTCACACAGACACACACACACACACACACACACTCACGCACACACATGTACACACATGCACGGCAAACACTCAGCTTCTGTTCAGTCTTTTAGTACATGTATGTTTTATGCTTTTTTCCGGATATTTAAACAAATTCTTTTTACATTATCAAATTGTGCCATTTTCTCTGATAAGAATAGCATAAGCAGTGGACTTTTTAGACAGCGAGTCTCAGACTCAATATCTTTTATAAAATTATGCTCATCAATGAAAATTACTAATTGATAATACATGAAAAGCATACAGTTGTCATGAATAGTGAAGAAAAAGGTGTGAAAAAAATAAGATAATGTTTTTTTTTCTTTTTAAAACCTTGCCTTATCCTAACACTAGACGATGTTAGACTACTCCCAGAGGTCCACCTATCCATTTTTGAAAAAAAATAAAAATTTATAAATAAATTCAGTACGGTAATTCAGACATGATGTACCAACGGCACAGGTTTTTAACTGCAGATTCGTAGATACAGAAAAAGACTTTAAAATGATACTAGACTTATTACATGTCCTGCTGTGATGGAAGATGGATGGGAAGAGGGCTTTTTTTCTATACGTGTGGCCTAAATAAGGTCAGGTGGGGGGCTAGCTTATATAGGCCATATGAGGCCTAAATAAGGTAAGGGATGGGGGTTTAGCTTCTTTTGGCCATATGTGGCCTAAATAAGGTTAAAGAGGGGGGGGGGTAGCTTAAATAAGGTCACCCTTTTCTCAATGTGCTGAAAATTTCACAATGACTGAGATGTTTTTGCCGAGATACAGGTATAATGCTGATGTATTCCATCTGCATCACCCCTGGTACGTGAAGACACAGGTTGTGCACTCGGCACACTGGGAGGGTGGAAAGTGTTCACTCTTTAAACTTGGAATCATTTTCAATGTTTTGACATATTTTTGTCCAGAACTTGAGAAACATGTCACTGGGTATACAAGGAAAAATGTTCTTAAAAATGCTAGAACTGTGTCAAGGTGAAAAAGGAAGTAGTTTATACATTTATCTAACACTTCTAAGTCAAAATAAATCTATGTGGATTCATAAGAGATTGCATGAGCAGTAATGCTTTATGCACCCAGCAAAGGGACTGCCCACTTTGGGACCGGACAAGTTTCACAGGATGCTCCCATCATTCACTCTGGGTTATAGAGTTAAAACAATATACATACCTGAATAACGGAAGCTTCTTCCAGCTTGTGTACCACTCGTGCTGGACCAGTGACTTGCCCCTGACTGACAGGCATACCTGGCAAAGAAAATCATTTTGTTCGAGCTTGTAGCTAAGAATTTGTTAGAGTTGTAGTAAATGATTTCTTTGAGTTTAGGACAAGCAGCTTTGAAGTCTAATATGGTAGTGCTGTTAGTATGAGTCTGTCTTTAAAGATTAAACGTAAGGTTCAAATCTCTGAGATACAAACTGTTTAGACTTATCCTTATTTCTTACCTTTCAGACATGAAACTCCTTCACCAACACTGGTGTCAGACACTGATGTGACCTGCAGACAGAAAGTGGGAACACTGTCATTAGTTGCTTTACTCTAATGGCGTAGACAAAGAAAACAAAATTAACATGAGACTCTTTGACTGTCATTTTTTTGTTAGTAAGAGTTTTTCGGCACTTGCAACACAATAAGGTCAAATAAGTGCTGAAGAATAGAGGTGTTACAAGAAAGTAACATGCACAAAAAAGACGGAGGAGAGATAAAGACGATAGATGTTTGATAGGAAAAAAGGAGCAAACCACACCAGAGCACCCACCAACCACCCACTCTTTGACTGCAAAGAAGAGGAAAGGCAAATGAGCAGAGCGGACACAGCATATCTGTACGACAAACTAGATGGAAACTTATGAAACAGCAAAAATTTACACCATAGCAACTCACAATGCATAACAAGACAAATATATAAAATTTATATTTCAACTACCTTTTGCTAACATCCCTTTTAGACTGAAAAGAAAGGGCACACTATTAAAATGTATTTAAAATATTTGTGTTTTCAGTATTTCCTATAATAACATGTTCCACAACAATCTTAATAGCAACCATTCTTGATTCTTTTCCAAATGACATTGATGAACAGTCTGATGAACCACATTTTGTTCTAATTCAAGAACAATTTTATTGCACGCACAGGAGAAACGCTATGACTTTGTCTAAATGATCATTAACAGCAAAATATTCAACAAAATATGTACCAAAACAGTCAGCAGCCCTCATCATACAGATCAAAACTAACAGGTACAATGAAACAGACAGAAAAATTCTAACCTGTCTTCAAGAAAATATGACACAATCAAAACGAAAAGCAGATAGGACACGTCCAGTAAGGCCAATCTCTGGCTGACTTTACATGAGGGGTTTCTAATTTAAAATTATGCATGGTCTGATAGAGTTAGGAGTCTGGGTTAGCTTGGGTTGTATCAAGTATTCCATGAAAAAAAAAGTTTTGATTACAGAAAAAGAATATTAAAAATACAACTTTGAAATCATGTTTACAACTCATCAACAAACACCACCGGAAAATGTCAAAAGCCTGGGCAATGGTAGCTCTTAAGAGATAAACCCAATGAACTTGTGACACTGATATATCGGTGTGCAAGTTATTTGCCCCTGCTCCGAAGCACCGATATATTGGAGTGTGCTAGTCTACCATAGAACAGTAGTCCGCACAAGGATAAAAATGATGTCAAAAGGACTTGTAGGCTAATGGTAACTATTGTAAAGGTCAAGGCAGCTCACGGAAGAGGGAATTAGTTTGAATAAAGAAGGCAGGCAGAGTTCATGGAGTGTTTAGCCATGTAGGCTTGTCTTTTCTCAAGAAGCCAGGGGACAGGTTATTTTGGGTTCAGAATGTCAGGGTTCATTGGGTTAAAAAAAAAAAAAAAAGAAGACTCACGGCAACACCTTAACAAAAAGGTACATGTCAGAACAACGTGCAGGCTGCTCTAAACCCAAATTTTTATGTCAAGTAGGGGCCGCAAAATATTGTCCAGCGGATCAAGCTATGAGTTTGAGACTCCTGCTCAACATAAAACTACAATCCAACAACTACTACAATAACAACAACAACAACATAACAACAGCGACAGATGAGAAAAAATCAGGGTTTTATTTAGTAACTCACAGGAGTGGGGTAAGATCGACTGAGCTTTGGAAACCGTAGCTCCATCTGCTGCACAAGGACCTTACGTCTTCTCTGTGCTCTGAAAGATGCAAAAGTGAATTATTGTATCAAATTCACAAAGAGAAGTACAGCAAAGGACAGATACTTTGTCTTGTTTCCGATAGTCCTTACTTTTTAAGAATCAGAGAAAACTTCTAACAAAGTAAACTCTGGTCTTAAATTTAAAAACCCCCAACCAATTTTAAGTTATAAGAAACCAAAATTCAGTTTATCAAAATATAATGTACATTTGACAGACTGAGGTGTGCTTGCCATCGCAAATATTCTCACATAGATTTGATGTTTGAAGAAAAAAAAAAAAGAAATACATTTTCAACTAATGAAATAGAAGACCTAACTCGCTATGTTTAGGGTGGTTTTTTTTTACAATACATCAACAATGACGATGTCAGCAATGTGTTATATTATTCAGAGTTGTTTGAGTTTTTGTTTTCTTTCAAAGAAACAATAATTTCCTTCCAGCTGGTCAACTTCTAACTCTCCACCATCACTTCATCAGCCAGCCACGTGTCTGAATGCAAGAAGCCCAAAAGGAAAAAAAAAGGGTAAACAATGTGTTGTAGCAGGCCACTCACTTGATGATTAGACGGGCAGAGCGGCTCGACAAGAGAGATCCGATCTCCTGATGCGTCAAGAAGTACAAGAGATCAGCATCCGGGAGACGGCCCTGGACAGAGACAGCAGAGAAATCACATAAAATAAAAATGGGTGATTTTACATCCTTATCAACACTATCTAGATAATTTAGGAGGCAGACTTCAGACCTCGCCACTCAGGGCCATCCCTGGCTGAGAGATACTATATCCCAGCAGAAAAGCTGAGATACTTGAAAAAGAAAGCAGAGAAAGGAATCACTCTACATACTAGGTGGTAAACTGTTAAGTACAGTCAAAATTGTTCAAGATGGTCGGTCGAGGAGAAAGGTGGTTGTCTTAGTTTTAGTTTTAGTAGAGTATTCACGGTGCTTGCAACCTCATAAGGTCATATTATTATGAGCACCAAGGGGTGGACGTCAACAGAGATGTCCATTCAGGGAATCAGGCTTACTCTGCTCACCTCTCTAGCTTCAACAGCACAAAGTCAGCTTCGACTATCAAGGCACCCCGGAAATAAGAATGTGACAAACATACAAAAGAAGTAGAGGAAAATGACAATAGTAAGGATTAGGAAAGAAAAAGCAGCAGTTCCCTGATGCAGTTCAGGCCCAGTTATGAGCATGACATTGATGAATCAGCCCATTTACAATTCTACTGTGCAAAAGAACATGTTAATGTTTCCCCTTTGGGAATGGCCTAAAGACACTTCAGTCAGTAGCACCGCCCGGGGGGCAGTCTTGGAGTGTGGGATTAAAATGAACACAAAAAGCAAGAAGGGAAGTGGGCATTGGTCACTTATACAGGTGACCGTCTTAGACGGCTGCCCATTAGAGCAAGTTTGACTATACATGTCATAAAGTGAAAATTATATCAAGTTTTATAAAACAAAGGTCACCAGTGATTATGTGACAACTATTCAAGGTCTGGTCATACTACAGTTTGTCATAGATATTGCGACAATAATTAGGCAGTCAAACTAAACTCCCTCAAACTCAAAATGCAGAACGTACCTCTTTGTGCATCAAGCCGGCCAGCCTGTGATATGCCAGTTTGAAGATCTCACTCATCTGAACGGAGACAGACTGGGGAGGTCACAACAGAGGAGATCAAGTCAGACAAGACCTTGTTGAGTCTATAAATAATAAACAGCAGATTTAACCCACCAGTTGCTTCACCATATTATAACACCTCCCCCTCACAAAAAACAAACAAAACAACAACCCCCATTAAAAAAAACAAAAAACAAAACAAATACAAACAAACTTTTAGTCGACAAACTGTTCAACTATTTAAAGCCGAGAAAGCAGAATTCTTTTACGAGTGAGAGATAACTGTTTCTTTATTTTGGAAATCGTACACATACATTATGAATCTTTTCCTGCTTTTTTTTCAACGTTAAGAATTTGAATTTCGACAAAAAATTCTTGGGCACATGCATCCAATACAACAGATTATAGAAATCCAAGGATGAAATGACTTACTTTGCCCCATTCCCTTGCTCCGACTGCTGCCCACGCTTTTGGCAATAACAGCTTCATCAGGGATCTGGTACAGAATGACAAATACTGTAAACGAGTATGTTCTTTATAGTGACAAGGAAATTTTCATGCTTTTTTTGCAGCCATGGCCAAAGACTTAAAATTTCCTCAGAGAAATAGCAAGCAGGTCTTGTAATAAAAACTAAAAGAAGTAACTTATTGTCGGCAAGCTATTAAAACGAGTTAAATCCAGAAAGTAAAATTTTAATAGGAGAGAGGAAAGACTTCCATTCTTTTAACAATTGTTGAATCTATTATCATTAAATACTATTTTTTTTTAAATTAATGAAGTAGAAGAACAGTTTTTAAATAAGATTAAAAAGAAAGAGGAAAGTTGATAATGATTATATATATATATATATATATATATATATATATATATATATATATATATATATATATAAAGAAAAGAACTGTAGTATAAGCCATTAATTTCGCTAGCTGTAATGTTTTTTAAAATCAGATATTAATTGTACCTTTTGTAAAATGACAGACTGGTCTTCATCCTTTTCAAGAGTTCATCAATGCTCAACATTTCTTTCTTGGATGCTTCATAAGCCTTGGTCCTCAGCATAATCTACACATCAGAGTAAACATGATGCAGTCTGTTCATGAATTGACACTATAATATGTGAGGTGGTGTGGTAAAATCAGGCACTTGTCAAAACAATCAAGTCAAAGAAACCAGCATTTTTTGGGGAGTCATGCAAATTTACGAAATAGTTTTCTTTTTTTTTTGGCTTAACATCTTTAATGCCCTTTAAAAACACATTTCTATGTGGATGTAACAGAAAAAAAAGTTGATTAAAGGCAAAGAAAAAGAGCAGTGGAGCTTGTTTATACTGAATTCTGCGGGGCCGTCTGATTTCTTTCGGTTAAGCTATGTTTTAGGTTTAAAGAGATTGGATTAAATAATAACAACAAAAATAGAGAATTCTATTTTCTTTTGATTTACCGGCTTTTTTCAATTAACCGCCTTCAGTGTTTAAGCAGACTCAACTGTACAGAAAACTCATATTCTGTCGGACACAGTTGTTCACACAGGATACATGTAGCACAAATATATGTGAAAATAATAATATTGAGAATTGCAAATCTAATTAAAATGATGATGGTGATGATGATGAAGTTAATGTTCAATCTACATCACTAAGATCATGCGATCAGTATCTTTTAAGAGTTCCTAGAAAAGGGGGTAAAAAATTAGCTGAAAGATCGTTCGCCCACCTTGCTCCGTCAATTTGGAACTCTCTTCCCCAACTATGTATCCATTTATGTATTTTGTGAATTGCAGTGTATATATTATTTTAAGCTCATTTCGTGATGATGTGTAAGCGTGTGCGTGTGATACGCAAGTAGATGTATGTGTGTGCGTGTGTGTGTGTGCGTGTGTGTGTGTGCGTGTGTGTTTGGCATACATATGTGTGCACATGTGTGTGTGTTATGTGTTCGTGAGTGTGTATGCTTGTGTTTGTGTGTGTGTGTGTGTATATGGTGTTTGTGTGTATATGAGTGTGTGGATTTGTGTGTGTGTGTGTGTGTGTGTGTGTGTGTGTGTGTGTGT